TTCTCGCGTTTCTCAAATCTCGAGTTTCCATCGTGCGTTTCTCCCTATCTCCCTTTTCCTCCATCAGAACTTTACACACAATACACGGTCCATTTCCATGCTCCATCCGGATCAAAACTAACAATCGCCGGTAGTAAACGCAACTTCCGGGCAGAATCTTGGCAACTTGGTCTGACAAGTTTGCGCGAAGTAGCTAGCTCCGAAAATTTCGTAAACCCTCGTGAGGATTCTCTCCCTTCTTCCCTCCCCTCCCCCTCTCTCTCTCTCGTTTTTCACCCTTACCCGGCCAATTCGATATCAGAATTTGATCAAATCCTCCCTCCTCTTCCAATTCGGTCACCCTCTGTTTCCAGACCCTCGGCAGATCGAATTCTTCCAGCTCGTGTGACATGTCGCCGAGTTTACTCGGCTCTAACTCCCGCTGCGTCGTGCGTACAGGGTGCCAGCGTAAGTAACGAAGCTGGGTTAGCTGGGTTCTAAGGTAGTAGTTTCCTGGGCTACACGTCCATTCGGTTGATAGGTTGGTAGGAGACGCACAGAGGGTGTTTGACGCGTGGGTGAAGGTAACAGGCAGCTAGAACTAGATGGAGAGGAAATCTTGGAATATACGTATACATGTACGTGGATGCATTTGGGAATAGAGAGGGTGGTGGGTTCATTGAATGGCCCCTCGGGTGACTATGCCAACAAACCCTAACTAACGTAAATAAGATGTCCTAGGAGGGTGGTGTTGTCTCTCTGTTTCTATCTTCTTATGGTTCTCTCTATTTGACCTCGTTCCTTTATCTTTTTCTAGCGTATCGATTCTTAATTTGGGTTAGGTTTCACTTTTTTCCCTTTTCTGATCTTCCTTATCCCTCAGTTGTTTCCCTTTTTTCAATTTATTCTCCATGTTCTTTTAACATAACCTTTTTTGGCTTCACTCTCTGCGGCATAAACCTTCTTCGTTCATTTTTATTCTCATCCTTTCTATTCCCTGAGTTTGTCCCATCATCTTTCTCTCTTTCACCATCCTTGTTTTCCTTTTATTTTTCATACGCATCTTCCGCCTCGAGTCACCTTCCTCTGGATATCAATTTTCATTCGAAGAAAAATGTCTACCTTTCTCTGACGCAGACCTTGATCTACTTTCCTTTCTCTTCTGAGCTTACTTCACCTTCTCTTCCTTTCTTCCTGACCCTTAAACATTCTCCCCTCCCTACTCCCCTTTCCTCTTCCTTTAATCTCCCTCTTTCGCAAACCTTCTTACCTTATATTTCTCTCTCTTCCCTTCTCATCGCCAACCATATCCCTCTGTCACGCTGCTTCCTGGTCCATTTTCGTGTACCTTCTTTTCCGACCCCTGACTGATTCTCAGGGTCGTTCTCTTACCCTCGAAGACGATTCTGATGAAGCCCCGGGCCAATTACCGGATTTCTTCGCAAAAACTTCGAAGGGAATTGCACGGACCAAGGCGGATGGACGTCGTGCTTCGTCAGAGACGACGAATTCAGGGGCTCCGAGAGTCAGACAACGGCGTCCTATTGTAAATACACTCTGGGTAGGTTTACGAATGATATCGGGATGAATCAGACGAATTTGTAAAACGATCATAGGATGCATAAGAGTGGATTTTTTGGATAGCTTTGTGTACGATAGTCGTTGAATGGTCGACGAATGAGTTTCGTATAACATCATAATGATCGAGGGCGCTACGATGAGTGGGCGGTTTCCCCAGCTATCTTCCGTTGACCTGTTATATGACGTAATAGTCGACGTGTTTCGCAGAGTCATAAATTATGGCGCAGTTTTTGGGGCCGACGACGTCCATTGTGACCAACGAAATATTGCCGCTACGGCGAGATATTAATGGTGTGTGATACATCGACAGAAAACAAAGTGGGAGAATTAAAAATGGTTATGGAAGTGGTGGATCTGTGATTTTTTTCGTTATTCTATTTATGGCCTGGGTATTTAAGTGTCTTTAAGAGAGAAAAATAATCGAACAGGATCGATCATTTTTGCATACACAATCACATTTTCTGTTCTATATAAGGTGGCAACTTTTAAATTCAATGTACGAATTATTCACATATTTTATTTTATTACGCATACATGCTCTGTTTTATTTGCTTTTTCAAGTAAATTTATATCGTTGTCGCTGTCTGAAGTATTTCAAATATATCGATCGTCATATCTAAACTGTAAATGTTTATGCAATTTTAGATCTTTACGCTAGAGAAACAAGATAATTGAACCTAGATGGGCTGTATGTATTTTGGATGCTTTAAACCGACAAATTACAAAATACTATTAAGAAAAATAAATACAATCTCTTCTTCGTGTCTTGTGATTCCAAACACGTAAATACAATTTTCTGCTCCTGTACAACTCGTATTTATATTACTAAACTGCACCTACAGAACGGATTAGCTATATCTGAACTCGAACAGAAAATCCTGATTCCTTATACAAACAATTAAGATTTAACGATAATTAATATCGTTTATAGCAAAACTCATCAAGACTCGCCGTAGTTCCAACCGGAAATTTCGTTAAATCACGAGATAATGGAGCAACGATAATGGCCATTCGGAGGTAGGCAAGCATCCGGGGCGATCATTACCACGAGCATCTCATTTATATAATCGAACGTCTGCTCTTCCAGCATCTTATTATTCATGTACCAACTATGTAAGAAGACGAGAACCTTTCCATTTTCTCTCCCTTTGTGTCACGCGTTTTACTACTCCTCCTTTTGACCAAGCGATCCGGAAATGATGAATTCGCCAACCTTATCACGACCATGTGCCGTTGTTTCCCTAAACGACTTCAACAAATAAGCTGTCTCGAACCAGGCTATTTCCCTCTCACGGGGTTCGTAATCCTTGTTTCGAAGCCAAAATCTGTCTCTCCCTCTTCGTCGATCGCTGAACTTCTTATCGCGAAACGAGAAGACCATAAGACCGAAAATTGGACTTTCCGTTTGAATCATCCTTCCCGTAAGCCCGAGAACGTTCCCCGTATTACGTACCGTTTAGTTTACTCGTTAACTACCTGACTTGCCTTGCGTCAACTCTTCCCATGATATTTTGAACCTGATGTTCCATTGAAAACGTGTAGCATTAAATAATAATAAGAAATAGAAGATCGAATATTAAAAAATATATTTTTCGGTGTTTCATATGTGTTATCGGAGCTTTCTTTTATTTTATTACGACAGCTTTCAACGTGATTCTTCCGATCCGATCTCTTCTTCTCTTCAATTTTTACTCTTCTTTGTTTTAAGAAATCGACAATAACGAAACAGAGACGCGTATACACTAGATTTTAGAGAGACAGAAGAAAGAAGTTGTACACGAACTTTCTAAACTGCAACCTATGAAACCCGACAGACTTTTTGAGTAAACGTGCGTCTTCCGAGACAGTTCATAATAGACACGGAAACTGAAAATCTCTATCTGCTACTAATAAAAATAACGCTATTTAGAATAATCTAATTTACAAGTAAGAGCGTCAGACATCAATCACGACCCATAAAAGTCTATCAAAACGTCGCCTAAAACGTCTTGTTCCTCTAACCTTGCTATTTTTCACGTTGCATCAAGACAATCGTCCAACATCGATCTACTACGCCGTAAAAAGTATCTCGGAAGCGTTCTTCCGCTACGTAACGCCCCCCAATTTTTGTCATCCCTTAATCCACCCCCAAGCACTTCGCGAAAACGCGTCGTGAAAGTTCGATACTTTGATAACGAGAGTCCGGGCCAAGTCTCGATTCGACGCATCTTCCACCTTAATTAAAGAAGTTTCTCTCTGAAAATGCCATTCCAGTGGCGTCCGACGACGGTATTTCCGCGTCCTTGACCCTACCACAGACCGGAAATTATATACATGTGCAACTGGCTTGCTTGCCCTCATCTCGTCTCACGAAACGTTTTCGCTTCCAGTTGGTCTCGCAAACGATGTTGTTGTTCCTCTTTCATCGAATTAATTGCCGTACCGTCGTATTCAATGTGCGAATATCTCGCCGCAAAATGGCTGTCCCACGAGCAAACAATGCTGTAAAGCGAGAACGACATCTTTTTTTAACAAGTCGTTTCATTTGACACAGTTTCAATTTTCGTAACGCGCGCCGGTTACGTCAACCGCGAATTCGCATCACACGCAGCGAAATAGCCGGATGGCCGTGGCTTTTTCGGCGAATTGCTATGCCAACGTTGTTGATTGTTATGAGAATCAATTGTTCGGAACAGCGGTTGTTCTTCTTTGTCAATTTCACATGGATTACGCGTTTATGGATTTGCTTGTTTTTTCATACAACATCAAACCGTTGGACAATGTTGTTTTAGATGGTTAGTTTTAATCGACGATTGAAATCAATTGCTGGGTTACAGGTGATGCAAGAGGGTTGATGTTCAGCATTGTAACACGTTAAACTAAACCTAATGTAAAAGTCTCTTATAAATCTTACACAAGACATGCATTTTTCAAAGCAAATTCGAAGATTCATCTCGTTATTTCTCTATAGTTTCCATCGATAACTTGTTAAATTAACAATTTATATAAATCTCGTATAAAGTTACAAACCTAACACACATTTTTCCAAGCGTATTCTCGCATTATTCATAATTTTAATTACAAGCCTATTAAATTAACACCGGCTGATCCAAAAGTTCCGTACGAGTGTTACGTGAAAGTAAAAACCTGAAATTTACTCCTTAAAGCAACTTGGAAGATTTCTAACGCAAGTTGCAAGATTCCTCTGGCAAATTGTTGTCGATCCTTCCGTAGACACGCGTAAAGGTTTAGTCGGCTAGCGGCAGGAGAACACATGCCTCTCGGAACGTTTCCTAGTTAGACCAATTCCGTACTTTCGCTCGTCACGATTAATTAGCTTAATTCTGGCTTCCTGTTGTGCGTACCGGCGGGGCACCCAAGGATGGTTGCGTGTTACGCCGGCATAACCAGCCGCATTCCGGTGTCATAGTTGACGCACGTATGTTGTCGTAAAAGCACTCGTGGCATCCGCCAAGCGTCGCGAGGATGGGTGCCGCCGAGACGTCGATCTGCATTTCCGTGCTGTGCTTATACGTCCTCAGGGCTACACCACCACCACGTGCTTCCAATCGTATGGGTAAGAAGGTTGGATCAACCGTTGCATTCATTCAGATCGTCTGCAGTAATGGACTAACGAGAAGGATGACCCAATTGGTCGGATTTAATGTTGTTCCTCGGTGGTTTTATTTTATAGTTATTTTATTTATAAATCTATCATTTCATTCGTGTTACACGCGTTTTCTAGTGCAAGATATTTAAACGTAGTAAAATTTATTAGAATTTTACAATTGATGAAACGAGTAGATAATTCATTACTTTGCCGATTAACAAACTAATTTGGTAAGTTATTAGTATAATCGCAATTTAGTTATAATTAATATGATCTCCTTATAACTTTTGCAGGTACTAAACACATACAATTAACAGTTGATTGTTTCTTTCATACTTTCTTTGAACAGATCTTACAGTAGCATATATGTAACAACTTCACCTAAATATCGTGTCATCGTTTACTTTACGCATCGTCTCTTTTAAAACCACTCGGAAGCGAATGCAAGTTCCAATGAAGATATATCAACCAGTTAACCGAATGTGACGAGTATACACGTCGAACAGAAACTTTATTTCGGTGTGTTTGACACACATGTAATTGTCGTCGCTTGTATTTAGTTAAACACTTGACGATGGGACACCACGAGAGATTTCTAAAACTAAATTCCATAGTTAACTGGTTAAATAATACGCACGCCGATCTTCAGCGATCTGGATCTCGCGAAAGTTCCGGCACATGCCTCGAGCTTTTTAACACATCGTCAGCCCTTCTACCAGACAGTTCACTAGTTTGCCAAATCCGTGGTCAGATATTTCTAGAAAACGCTTATCGCTTTTCGCGTACCTCATGGGACATCGTGAGCTGCCGAGTATTTCCGACTAATCAGCTCCATACACGCGATCCTCTACGGTAGACAAGGACAATAGAAAGTGTCTCTTATTGTTAGAACCGCGCTAATCCTGAAGAGTATCACCGCTCAAAACAGTCATCGAGCCTAAACCTGATAACATTTCTGGTTGCGACTATCTGCAATACAATACTCTTGGAAATGGATCAACCATACGTCGACCTTGACGCGTGCATCTCCTCTATAAAGGAGTCGATTGTAACAGATATATTGGCATCGTGGAAACCGACCATGAGCTTGTTTCTTTTTCTAAATCCTAGAAATGTCTAAGTTCCTAAGCCTAACTTAACCCTTTTTCTACGTGCGGCAAAACTTCACAGACGCCCCGCACCCTCTGGGAGAAGGGCGACGGATGATACCGGATTAACCTAACCCTAAGCTAAACCTAACCCTAACCTAAACCTAACCACGTAGATCCCATGTCTCGTTCGAGTAACTCGTGGACGTTGGTGCTGTGCCACGAATAACTCGAATCGTTATGATTAGAGGTATACGAGTTGAAAACAGTTATGACTCACAATAATGCATTGTGGCAAGAGTGTATGTCGTGTAACTACGTCGTGAGTCAGAGACAATTTTCTACAACCCCTGTAGGTACACGTAATCCGCTTTCCCTCTTTGTATTATGTTACTTGTTCTACGATTGTTTCCCTTGAATTACTTCCGCGTATTTTTTCTACCTCTTGAAATAATAAATCTAATAGAAGACGTACTGGAGAGCGAACTCTCGTTTCACTATAATAGTACAGAGTGGAGAACTTTAATCGAAAGAATGAAAATGTTCTGCTACCAAGTTCAACTGAACTTAGTTTGCAATTCTCGGGCTGTAGATTAGGAAAATTTCATATTTTTGTAAATATCACTAAAGAGTAGAAGTTCGTTCTATGTAGTGAATATTATAATAATAGTTTTACTCGGAATATTTTACCTATATCGTACCAAAAATAGCAAATTTAATTACCACAATTATTACAATATTATATTACCAATACTAATTACCAAAATTAGTTTTAAGTTATATTTAACTATAAATATCCGCGGGTAATTATTAATTCGTAGTAATTGTTACTCAAGATAAAAATTAACAATTTTTCAATTGGTTAAATCTACGAGTACAAGCCTTTCCCTGTTTAAACAATCGTTACTTTGTGTACGATATTATCGTCAGCCTGCGGTTGCGTATATACTTGTGACAAATTAAAGCTTCATTCACACTAGCGATGGCGGTACGGTCAGATCACGTTAAGTCATAGTTACCGATCAAAATCGCCTACATGTAATCCAATGAGAGCACACAATAGGCGATTCGGTTAAGTCAAATAGAAACCTGTTAGCCGTGGCTAGCGATCAAGACCGCGGTCAATAGCGGGGAAGGAATATGGAGGATGAGCGTTTAATCGAATCTGTACGAAATTACAGCGAACCATATATATGATTTCAGTCGCAAGAAATACAGTGATATATCTGACAAAACGAAATTTTGGATCGAAACAGAGACGATATAACATTATAAAATGAAAGACAGTGCAACGAGATTTTATCGTTTCCGATCGTTTAGTGTGAATGCCTCGGTAAAATCTCAGATTTTGATCAACTTGAAAGAAACTGAAAATCCTAGATTCAACTGTTAATGTGAATCAGACTTTAGAATACTGTCGAGACAATTTCTCCATGTCCGTAGGCAAACTGGGTTATGTACATCCAAGTTTAATCCTTTTTACTATCATGAGATTCTAAAATATCAGAAGAAATTGTGAGATACTCAAAAAATCTCATTATAAATCTTATTATCTTAATTTATTGAAAATCCATTTTAAAATATAAGATATTTCCTTAAAATATAAGATTTTTCCTTTTAATATTCTTATATGGTATAGGTTGGTACTTTTTAGAAATCGGTATATACATGTTATGGAAATTATTTGTTAAACGTCCCTTCTTTTGTGAATGAAAATAATATTTGAAAAAGGAAATGCGTCGTGTGACTTCAGATGGTATTACAGAAAGCAGAGTTGATGGACGACATTTTTTCACCATACAATGTGTGTATGGTGTATTCTAGAAAAGAGTCGTAAACCACAGACAATTTTTTTCCACCCCCGTGATTGCTCTTTGTTCCGTGTTCGCCGTTATTCTCTCTGTTTGCGCACATTTTTCTGTGTCAATTTGCGCCACTTTTTACCCGTTCTCGCCCACTGTTGCTCCCTGTGTTTGCTTCAAGATATGGTAGAAGTTACCGCAATATGTTTCAACAAGCGTTTTATATTCCTAAAGAGATTGCAGACACGTGGTATCGTTATAGATTTTAAATTAAGTATATTTTTCGTTGCAACGTAGCAATCATATTCTTAACATTTCCTTAGAAGGTAAAATTCTTCTCTTCAGCAGATATTTTATTTTCCAAGTAATATTTAAATTTAATATAATTATATTTTATTTTATTTTATCATATGGATAATTTTGTCATGATTCTATCACCGAGAAATTTATTTATATCGGCCATAAGCTCTTGGTCTTCTTAAAATGAAAACTTACGGTCGAATCGCACATAATAAACGAACAATCGATCAATTTTCCTCCCTCGACAGCAACATAAGATTCGCTAACTCACTAAAACTAGTAAAAAACTATATTCAGATAGTTATTTATATTGCGTATACTATAAATAAACATGCTATTACGTATATAGATACAAATAAACCTCAATATAAAATTTCACGTGCAAACAATTTCTCCCACTTGCAGCCCATCCCTTTAAATTTCGTTACACCCAAGGAACTCAGCTTCGTTGTCTCATAAAAAATAGGCAATTTCACACCAAGGCACGGCACGATATCGAAAACGCGTCGTAAACACGCAGAGCGCCAGGAAAATAACACCACGTAATTATCAAGCGGATTCAAGCGTGCGTTAGTCGAAGCGCGTTTAAAGATGTCTGGAAAAATCGGTGCCGATTTCCCGGAACGAGATGTAATCGGGTCATTATTATAGAATTACATGCAATTACCCGGCGCCGATTAATGCAGCGTACTCAGATCGCGTCAAGAAATTCCCCGCTCCTTTTCTGCTTAAAATTATACAAGTTCCATGTCTTTCCCTTTGAATGAAACCTCGCGTTAACGATCCATTTTGTGTCAGTCTAACGAGCGGCCGCATCTCGATTTTGCCTGCAGCTTACGCGAAAGAACCTTCCTTGGAGATTATGCCAAGCGGGGATACACAGACGAGGCCAATCGGCTCCAGCATCATCCTGACGTGCAAACCGAAAGTCGACGACACCAAGCTGATCAAGGACATGCAATGGATCGACCCCCAGGATCACGTGATCGAATCACTCAAGTACGTACAATAAACGTTATAGATATATCCATACAGGACCTAATTTTTGGAACATACGTTGGCTCCTTGCCATTGTATATGCAATGCAGTATATTCTCGTCTGGAAAGGGTTGTAACAGCGATAATTTGTGTAATGGTGATTGCGACGATTGTAGAAAGTTTATGGGGAATTTAAGAGGGTTAATTTTACGAGAGTACATTTTGAGAACAAATTACGCGCTTTTAACATCTATTGGACATAGCTTCATTGTGCTTCAAATTGGGGATAGTTTTAAGTATTGCGGATAGATCGAGTTTTGCGACTGGTAAATCGATGTAGATTTTTGATATTTCTAGATCTAAATTCGCTTCGAAACGTTTACTTCGTCTGAATGGACGAGACAGGAATAGAGTGACGGTAGAAAATTGTCTTCCAGATACAATTTAATCTCGTGAAGATCGTAGAATTTAATTGGAGTGAAACGAAATGTAGGACGTCTTTTTTAAATTTTGCTTCTTGAGCTATCGTTCGTTTAATTATGAAAAATCAGCTGCTGGAATAATAACGAGAATGAAAAATAATTCTACGGAGAGAAATTCAGCCAATTCCGAGGAATTTTAATTCGATTTATAAGTGTTTTTAAGTAAATTTAAAGGGAATTGATAAATAAATACTGGTAAATTAATATAGTCTGAGTATCTTTTTAACGTAGACTCAATTCTAGCTATTCGTTCAATTTAAACGAAAATATGACAGGAATATTTGTTTAAAATGATATAATACGAGCCACTTCGTTCCTCCGAAGTAACTGAAAAGGATTACGTGCAATTTCGTAGGTGTAATGAATATTAAGACCTTCTGTAAACATCGACGCTTGACGTGCAATCATAACTCAAGCGGGATGTTGTGAGGCTGGAAAATAGAAAGAACAGTAGAAAGCGTTGTTACAACGCAAACAAACGTTTGTCAAGTCAGACGAGAATATACGAGCAAGGGAAGTTCACGCTTCCTAGCTTTTTTCGACAATAACAGAGCAGCCTTTAGCAGATAATTGGAAGAAGAGTATAATGGATGTGGTGTAATTTATGCAGATTCAAATATTACGAGTTTTCGTCAAAATTTCTGTCGAATATATAAAACCAAATGTTTTTCTCCTCCTCTTTTTGTATGAGATTTTGTGAGAAAATTGATAAAAGTAAAAAAATGTATTCTTTCTAAATTATAATCATATAGAAATATTAACATGATATCTTTATTTTTTTTACGAATGAATACAACGCTGAAAATACTTTATTGATAAAATTATCTAATCTTTTTCACAAATTTTTTGTAATCTTTATCATATTGAAATTGCTACTATAAGAAAACATACACGAATAAATATATAAAACATGTATAAATAGAGATATAGATTTAAAAAAATTACACCTCACCCAATATACACGTCCAACTAACGCAACTCACATTTTTTTCCCATTTTTTTCTCTATGAGGATAACACACGAATAGAAACATCATCGACACATTGCACTAATTAAACGAATTTCTGTCACTTATTTTGCACACAGACTCGTCGTTTTACCGATGGAAAGGCGAGTATACAAAACTCCATTCAAAACTTTTACACCCCGTAGTGTCATTGCCAAGTTCCTCTCTGTTTTCCGATAATCGTCCCCCTTAAATAAATATTACATATATATATATATACACACACCAATATATAGATAGAATTTCCATTCACCGAAATTATTGTTAGAAAACGTCCACTTTCTTTGTACGAATACACAGCCTCACGAAAGTATTTCAACGCTGAAAGGGTTCCGACTTGATTAATATTCATAATCACGATGTCGTCTCTCATAACAGTGCCAATGTAAAATGTTTCATATAACGTAAAGAATAAGCGCGTAAAACTTTCCTACGATAATTATACAAATACTTTCATGAGTCGATTCATGCAAATACCTGATAGATACCATCGAGCAACGTGCACACACATCATGCAACCATCAACCCTGTACTTCACTCACCCCATGACTGATTTACGTCTACTACAGCCCCTCTATGGAGCTCTTAATTGCTGCAGGTCAGCCCGCGAGCTAAGCGTTGCTCATTAAGCCGTTCGAGAAAAGTTTCCGCCTTCCGTGGCCAAACTAACTTGTATTTGAATAGTTAAACAGAGCCAAACCCACTGCCTCTGTGCCACGTGTACCGTGTGCTACTCGTTGATATAAGAAAACCCATAGCCCTGCTATTTGGAAGTTAAATAAGACGGCGTTCGCCAGACGTCATTCAATGATAACAACGGCCACCTGAGCAATTATATGCTTCCACCAGAGATGGATGCTGTTCGTGGAAGCAAAAGGGAAATTTCGCCGAATAAATTAAAATTATCGAACCATTTGAAATGATATTCTACCGCATGCTTGAAATCAATTCGATACTCAAGGCCAATTTCCTCTTTTATTTTATGGATATAGTGAGGATAATAATAGGGAAGTTGACATGTTATTTTTTTACTACAGCATTATTTATTTATAGCGTAATCGTGTGTATTTTAGATTAGGATTGAGTAAAGTAATCGGAATTTTTTAAACTTATTTTTACTGTACGTTATTATGCCATAAAAATAAAATGTCAACTTTTATAGCACCCTTTCTCGTCACATTCTCCCACTACTCGATAATGTAGAAAGGGTGGACTGGAAGAAGAGAGAAATGTCAAGTTGTGGCATTTCTCAGAAAATGAAAACTTATTTTTCAATATATGTATAATGTCACAGCTTGCTATTTTCTCATACATCAAAATGAAACATCATTCTATTCTGCATCGTTTTCAACTTTTACCTGTGACTACAGGTAATAGTACATTAAATTCTAAAAAATGAAAGGTATTCATTTTTTATATACGCCTCAGTTTTTTATAATTACCGTAAAAATCATAAAATTTAACTCGCAATGCCACAATTCTTATAATAAAAATTCCAAAGAATTATTTTATAAGCTACGATGTGGTTCTTTCTTCTTCCACTAGCCCTCGCTATATATTAGGTCGTCCGAGAAGTTTCTTTCGTTTTGTAAGGAAATAGTATATGCACAACATTTTTCGTTTTATATTATTTTATCGAATTACGTATGATCCATTTTCACAACGTTCGACAGATTAAGTTTCATATTTGTACAAAGGTGCGTCGTCGTAAAAGACGTGTCTGTAAAAGAAAGACACTTTTCGAACAATCTAATATTATCCACGAAATAGAAAGGGAAAGTGGCCTTGGGCATCCAATTAATTTGAAACGTGTAATAACAGTAGTACGTAATAATATCACAGGGGCTTGGAAAAGTACACTTGCCTGGTACTCAGCTCGCACAGCACTGGATCAACGAAACCATTCATCGTGTATTATACATTTGTGTACCCATTCGTTGATCGCGTGTAATCGCGTCTTCCGTGCGATCCTACGCGTTTACTGACGAACGTCGAGGATCTATCCTTCCATGGCTAAATAATGTATCGCGGCGTGCGTCTTGCAAATATTGAACCCCGCGATCAAACAATCCAACGAGCGTTAACCTCGGTAACTGATTCGTCGGATCGCGTGTTTGCTCGATTACGCGGACCCCGAGCGATTTGCATAATTATGTCCGCTCGTCGCGGCGAGTAATGGCCGATAAATTCAGCGCGGGACGCGTGTACCCGCTCGAGAACCGTTTCATTAATCGTACTTACTGCCCGTGTTCGCCGATTAGGCAAGAAGAAAGGGTATTATTGCATTATCGTTCGGCTAACGCTGCTATCTCCCCTGCATCGTCGCGTAATACACCGCAGCTCGAAAGTTCCTGGACACTTGCTCTTTTTTCACGCAATTAGCGATTTAGTCAGGAAATTGTAGAAAGATGGCGGAAGAATTATACGAATATTATGGAAATATTTAAGATAGCTTTATATTGTATTTTATCGTAGATCGTTGATGTTGATACGAATTCTTATTTTTCGCGAATGCAATTAAAGAAACGGAACTCGAGCAAAGGTTCGTGTAATGAGAAGTTATATGTACTTTGGTTAGTTTCTATATTTCGTATGTTATATGTGCATTTTTATACCTTCAAATTTTTCATAAATTCTTAATTTACAGTAATAAACACTGTAGCCACTAACTTAGAAGCAGCACTATACATACGTACACATTCTCCTCTGTTTTCACCCATTTCCTGTCTTTCGTTTATTTTCTCTCTCAGTTTCCCGATTCCACGTGCCACTTCTCAGTGTACCGTAATCGTCCGTGAAATGTTCTCTTTTTGGTGAACTCCGCTTAAGGTGATCTCATGGATGTTCGTAGAAATAGGGGTTGAGAAAAGGTTGAAGTTGAGTAATCGGGATACGTGGCTGCTTGTTACAGGCTGTTACTACTTGCGGTCGAAGGTGATGTTGGATTGTTACGTGGGTGAAGGCTTAACGAATGTTTGTTTAGTGGAGAAATATATATTGTACTGACAGAAAATTTGCAAACAGTATAGCTCATGTAGAATTGGCTATGTCCAAAGTAAACCAACCATCTTTTATGCTACTAGATATTGTTACAAGCCTTTAAATTTATCCCAAAAATCTTTAAATACAATTTTTATTATTTTTATTACCAACGTGATCCTATTGTTCGAAACGATGTTTTAGAAATATCAATCATATTCGATATTCCACATACAAGACGTACTCTTTCGTGGAACCTTAATTTGATAGAAAATATGTCTACAGAGAAATTTTGTTTAAAATATAAAATGTACCCTACCTAATAAATGACTGACTATTAATCAACTAACATAAACGATTCTAACAACAAAGAAACGAACTAACGACCAACTTCAACGCAGACCCAGCTAGTACCATAACCCTCTATCACACGTGAACCTAACAACCGGTCGAACCGGGGATCAACATCATCGTTATTTGTATCTGTACGTTCCTCTCGCTGTGAGATCACCAATCTCTGAAACTCGCATTTCCTAATCGAAAGGATTCATTAAAGCGTGTATCTGTAGTGAGCTAACCATTCGAATTCGTATCGGAGCTATTCATTACGACACGATTCAACGTCTCTCCCTTACCAGAACCTTATCTTCGAGCCAGTACTCTGTCATGCAGTGTTGTTAAATTGTGTGAATCCATGTGAATGCGTCTCGTTTGTACCAGTTTCCCAGGTCATGCACAACACGAAAGACGACGAAATTGCTAGCTGTCCGCGTTCACCAGTTTAGGATCCAGGTAGAACCAATCTTCCGTCTCTGAGAGAGGTCTTGGTTCGATCTGGCTCTTACGTCGAATTAAGGTCGATCGATTTGCGAACCGGCTGATCCTTCGAAACCAGCCCATCGATCCGAATTCGACGCGGCACTCTGCTCTCACCGCGTGTACAGCCCCGCCTCGTAACGATATTTCACCGATATCGGCTCGGTGTTTCGCGTTAGAATACGGATTAGATGTTTTGCCAACGATTTATGAGCTTCACGATGCGTCTCGGATATTTCGGACGATCTGATTCGGGAGATATTCGGTGGTACAAAGTGTTACATTGAGAGTTTCGTTTCTTTCCTTTGTTTTAACCACTTAACGCTCGAATCTTGCATTTAAAATGTTGCTTTATAGATTTTATAATTTCTCAGCGATAAAGCGAAGATTAGGTGGAAAGAGCTTTTATTCTTAAACTAGCTGAAAGATTGATAAGTTAAAATAAGTGAGATTGGCAATGAAATTAGTTAAAAAATGAATTCGTTTGTATAGATTGATAAAGTAACAAGTAATAAACAAAATTCAAAAACAAAAGTATCCACCTTTCCTAAAAGAATTATTCGACGTGTTCCAACTATTTTTACACGAAGAATCAACCCTTTTGTCTTATATCGCAATTTGTTATAATATATATAACTTGAGCGTTAAGTGGTTAATATTTATTCTTCCTTCGCTCTCATAGTGACTCTTTCTAATAATAAGTAGTGTTAACCTTTTAATGTTTAAATAATAAAACATAACTATTTTATGGAAAAAAATAACAATGTTAAAAAAGCACGTGTGAAATGTATGTCGTAATTAATAGAATATCGATCTCTGAATTTACTCGTGAAACACTGAGCCAATTCTTCTATTCACTCTGCAACATTTCACCTGAACATATCACTCATCGTCATCGCCATTATCGTTATAGAATATTATCGTCACTAGAATGGTTGTGTAACGTATAAAAAGTTGATGTAATAATAGTGATTTTTAATTATCCCGTATAGCACCCCGGGTCATTCGCAGCCACCGATGTACACGGAATTGCTCCAGGACAATAGTTTGTCTTTGTTCTTCAACTCTCTGCAAGAACAACAGGCTGGGAAATACACGTGCAAGGCCACTTACGCGAATTCGATTCAGCTGGAGAAGTCTGTGACGATCGATACCATAGGTGAGCAAAAGATTTAAAGAAAGTTCAGTCTTAGAGGGAAAAATTTCAAATTCAAGTTCTTGCCATTTTAATTTCCTCGTTTGAAATATTTCATGGCGTTTCGAGAAAAGGCATTAAATAAATCCACTCAAAGGAAGTTTCAACAGAACCGAATTAAAAGTTGTATTTTTATATCTCAAATATTTAAGCTTGCAGACTTGGAATTTGGAACACTAAAAGTTTCCATTTGACTTTAATTAAATTTTCGCTTAACTCGTAGTGTGGGAAACATTGAAATTTTTCTCGATTCAATTTCTCGAATTCTACAAACGTTCCAGCTATAAAAATCCCAGAGGTTGTCAGATGTAAAAATCAAATCCAGACAAAAATCTCGTTTGCAAACTTTATTTTTCTTTATCCGTGTTGTTTCACAAGTTTCCCTCGCAAAAAGTAGTACAACAATTTACATATTTCACAAATGCAAACAATCCTTTGTATAACATTTCCTGGGATCTGTTTACAGACAAACGAAAAATGTTCGCCAGAAGTCTGTGTAAACGTTTAAAAAAATTCTGTAGAACGAAATTTCCAAGCTTTAGTCTCGATAAATAAAGAAGCAGTGTACACAAAAGTATCAAAGAGTAATTACTGTTTCGTAGTTGCGATCACTTGGGACAATGCACCGCCCAATCAATATCCTATTCTGGGAGAAGACTACGCTATTCAGTGTAAAGTGCGGGCAAGGCCTTCACCCTCGGTCGACTGGCTGTACAACGGCGAATTAATTAAGACGAACGACCACTACATTATAGACACGTATGCTCTGAAGATCAAGAACGTTCAAGAATCCGACGACGGTATCTACACTTGCCGTGCTTACGTATTGACCACTGGAGAGCTGAGGGAACGACCTATTCGCGTCGAGGTGGGTATACATTTATCAGTTTTATTCCTGGACTGCTGATATTTATGCAAATTATATTTTGAAATTAAATAAGACCTCCTATAGCGCGATAAAAATATTTTATTTACAAATGTTTCTATGATATCATTTCTTTTAAAAGCATTTCGTTTACACTGGTATTTTCCAAATCGAGTTATACGAGAGCAAATGACAATTTTTTTAACGATATTACGCTACACACAGCATCGCGTTATATAAGGGTCTACTGTGTTGTAATTAGAGATTAATTTGATACCTTTCCGACAATGCCGTACAAACTAAATAAAAAATCAAAAATCCTCGTTTACACGTATCATATGCATGAACGTCGAGAACACAACAGAATCACGTGACAAGCTCAAATTTAAAGAAAAAATCATATCAAAAATCCACGCTCGATATCGAGCACCTCTAAAGAGCAAGCTAAGGTACCGCCCAATTATGATAAGTAAATAATACGGCAAACAGAAGCTGCTACACGTTCCAGGTAAAGTCAAATATCAGACAGAATTTCGTCCATCCATTCCCCTCTAGTTTGTATACCCACCGCGTTGCACATAGTTCCATCCCCCTTGGAAGATTCGGCCGGAGTGGCTGCGCCAATTATTCCCAATCCCAGCCATAATGCCGCCACAGCTATCACGGAACAGGTTTGCATTTCATTTAACAGGTCCACATACGGCCGACGGTGGAGGAGTTCCCCGCCCCGGTGGATGTGATCGAAGGGGAAGACGCAAGCATACGATGCAAAGCTCATGGCAAACCGCCGCCAAAATTCACTTGGGTGAAATCGCTCACGCACCAGAATCTTTCGAACGCCAATCGCTTTGGAGTGGACTCTGATACGGGAATATTAACCATCACGAACGTGAATCGCGAAGATGCAGGGGAGTATCAATGCACGGCGATAAATTTAGCCGGTGAAGCGAACACGAATATCAGAGTGAACGTGATCGTGAAGCCAAAGATCATGGAGTTCTTGAACAGTACCGTGGTACAGGATAACGAGGCGAATCTTGTCTGCAAGGCCTTTGGCAAACCTCCACCCCAAGTCACCTTTAGGAAGCTGACCGATGAGAAACCGTACGTGAAAGGGACGCAACTAGACGACGATAGAATCATGCTAACGAACAGTGCCGATGACACGAACGGCGAAACGATCGGTACATTAACGATCAATAAATCGCTCAGATCAAACGATGGACTCTATGAATGTATCGCCGAGAACGCAGGAGGCGAAGCGCGTAGAAACGGTCATTTAACTGTCGAATTTCCGCCATCGTTTGCTTCCATGCAGAATACAAGCTCTTGGTCGTGGGAGCAGAGACCTGTGAACATCAGTTGCATCGCCGAGAGCATACCGAACGCTACCATTCGCTGGACCATGTACGGTGATCAGAAAATCGACAATGACAACATGATCAAGCAGCTGGGCAACGGTCCTCTGTCTACCCTGATGATTGTCCCGCTGGACAAGCGGTATTACACCACTTACAAGTGCATCGCGTCTAACAAGCATGGCACGCGGGAACGCAATATCGAATTGAGAGAGGCCACGAAGCCGGCAGAAGTGTTGCAGGCGAAAATGTCTGAAATTACCGCCACTACGATTAAATTCGATCTCGTGCTACCTAGCAGCAATCCTGAACTCCCTGCGAAGATGATTACCGTGCAGTATAAGGAGGATGGGCAGACCTGGATGATGGCGAAAAACAAAACGTGGTCTACTAGTGAGTAGAGTTGATTTTGGAGCTACCAAAATTTCTTTCTACCATCTAATGGATAGTTATGATTATTTATTAACCATGATTGATCCTTATCCATCTGTTTGAATTCTTCATCCCTTTCTTTATTCGTTATAGCTTTTCTCTTGCCATTCATGGAGTAATCGTTCACCTATCAGATGTACTGTTAAACACACTTTGACCGCGACAATTCCTACGTGAATTCCATCCAAATTAATTATGTATACCTTCCTTTTATTTATCTAGTGAATAATTCTCCAATTTGATAGATATGTACACTATGAAAGATCAATGTCACGGTATCAATCCGTGGACTAATTATTTTCTTTCTATTTATTTCTTATTTATAATCTTAATTATAATCTTTTCTTATTTATTTATCAAGTCAAAGATATTTCCACAATTGCAACTTTTATATACTTAAATCATTATACAAAAAGCCTCCATCTAAACTAATTATCCTTTTTATATTTGTTATTTAAATTTCCTCTTATCACCCAATAATCTTCCTAATCATATATCAAATGCACTGCCAAAAACATTTCCACAATGACAGCTCTTGCACTTATTGTTAGCTAACTCTCTCTAAACTAGTTATCCCTTTCATTGTTTGCAGATTCATCCTACGTCCTGGAAGATCTGAAACCACAGACTTCGTACGAGTTCCGATTCGCAGCTAGAAACGTGGTCGGCCTTGGTAACTGGGGAGCGTACCATCGCGAAATTACGCCCGGAAGGACGTTCCCGAACGAACCAAAGATAATGATGCCTAGCGCAGAGTACGATGTGTCCAGGTTCAACAATCAATACGAGCTAACTTGGTTGGCGCCAGCCGATAACGGCGAGCCGATTGACATGTACCAGATCAAATACTGTCAAATAAAACGCGTTTCTGGCGAATGGGAGGTGTTGGAGAATACCTGTCGAACAGAAGACATCAAGACACAAGGAAGGCTGAAACACTGGATCAAGAACCTATACTCCGACACGTTCTACAAAGTGGAGCTGAAGGCGCACAACATAATGGGTTTCAGTAAGCCAGGCTCTGGGAAGTTTAAGACCGCCAGAGGTAAGTTTCTATCTTTTAACTCTCCTTTCTTTTTTTCTATCTTCTCTTTACACCTTTTTTCTTACACCGATTTTAACCATACAGTAGCTCGCCAAAGTATTCGAATACTTGTCAGAACTTTCCGTGAATGAATGTTTAACCTTTCAGAGGCTAAACCGATCAACGTTACTTTTCATCTACTGTTTGATTTTATTGTACAAGAACGCGATTAATATTTTATTTTCCAGAAATTTAATTCGTTCATTCGTTGAGGCTTGATGACTTAAATAATGATCAATTCTAAGGTAAATTTTAAAAACTCGTCTGGTATATCATTATTTCTTTGTAATTATACCGATACTTAGTGGAATGATAGATGTATCACGTTTTGCAGAAACGACAAGTCAAATAATCAATTATCCATTAATTTTGTACTCTACAAATGTTCTACTATATATGCCACATATGTTTGCAATTTTCAGATTATTTTCAAATTTGATATCAATATAATCACGACTATCGTGCCTTATTATAACGTTAATAAAATCTTTTTAACGTTTTATATTTTATGGTAAGTATTGGAATACTTTGGCGAGCCGCTGTGTCCTCGAAACGTGTTCGTTTCATTCGCCATTTTCTTCATCTTCAGATATATATTTACATCGGTATTTCATTAGCGCCCTTTTTATATACATCAAGTCGTAATTTCTCTTTAAAATTATTACATTATATATATATGTGCACGAGGCTATTGCACCGATTGATATGTCGTCCTTTTTTTTTCATTTTTTTACTTTCAACCCGACGAGAGAGACCGTTTACAAATCACTTCGCCTCTGTTTTTATTTTATTCACTCAAGGAGGAGGGAAAAGGGTCATTGAGGTATTTCGATACATCGTCGTTGCGTTCCTTTTTCTTTTTTTTTTTTTATAATACTATTTGTAATTAGAGAAATATTTTTTATACGTAAAAGTATCCTTTTTAATTGGTTGAACATGAACGAAGTGTCCTCAGTCCCCTTGACCCTTGTAGAAAAGCGACTTTAGATGAACTGTCCGGTAGCCATTCGATATATGGGCACCTTAGGCATATTAGATATTCTTCCCTTCCTTTAAAAAAAAAAAAAAACATAATCAAGACACAACGAAAACAAACGATCCTTCTACAAGTCACTTTTTATCATTCAGAACCTACGGGCCCCAATGTGGACTACAATATAGTTACTTCCGCTGGAGATACTCGCAAGCTCACCGTGACCGCCATTGCCACAGCAATAACGATTCTATTTCTAGCTATCTAAAAGAAACAAAAAAAAAAAAGAAGAAAGAAAAAGTAAACGAAACAAACATAAAATAAAAATGCAGAAAATATTAAAAGAGATCAACGTCATGAACGGTCGCTGTTCACGCTCTAATCTTTCCAATTTATAGTGTACACGTTTTAAAAAAGTGGTATGCGAATACGAACGTACGAATGTTGCTATATAATACCACAGAGAGAGAGAGAGAGAGAGAGAGGGAGAGAGAGAGCGAGAGAGAGAGAGAGAGAGTACAACCAGAGACACAAAACACAATGGAGAAAAGAAATTCTCGTGTAATACGTTCCGTGTTCGTCAAGTTTTCACTTTTTACTCTATAAACGTGTTTCTGCCGCGTGTTTCATTTGTCGAACGCGCGTGAAGTTCGCAAACATATATCGCAACTATCACACAAACCAAACACGAACTACACACACATACGCATGCACACACACACACACACACACACACACACACACACACACGATTAACGATTATTGTAAAGTGAGTCTCTTATTGTTAGACCGGTGCACAACATTCCAACGTAGAAACGTTAGCGAATAAGTGGGATTCGATGATGTTCGCTGTGTTGATAAAGAGTGGAGGAAACGAGAAATGAAAATGGTCGTAATCCATTGTAAATTAGTAGCGCGTCTTAACGGTATACTTGTTCGTATGCTCGCGTCGTTATCTTTTTTTTTTTTTTTTTTTTTTATAGCGAATGTACGGTTTCGTGTTTTAGTATTATTTCCAGGCAAAATTTTATTGTTTCGAGGATTCGCACGTGATTGAAGGTTTAATATAATGTAGATTGGTGATCGGATCGGGACAGCATTCGGGTGGAATATTATAAATTGTGAATATTCGCGAATTATTCAGAGTAAATTGCAGAATAGCGTTGTGTGTCCAGCTCGAAAATCAATTTATTCAAAGGATAATATCACGATCATCGATGCATTAGATGTATCGTTGTGTGCATCGTGAATCGATTTTAACATAACGTTAAATTAAGGGGCTGAGACACGTATTGCCTTAAATTGCCAAATGCTTAGTGTTAAAACGCGCAAGGTACTACATTGAAGACAAAAATGTTCATCACATTGTGTAGGAGTGTTCGTACAATTGAATTTTCGACTTTTCGATCGTCGAAAGGGAATAAGAACGAATATATATGTATTAGGTTGCTTCGTAAATTCTGGCTCGTGAGAGTCAATTTTCTACAAATTTACACGACATATTTATATGCGTTATGCCTCTTTTATAAAAATCTTGGAATCTGTCATTTAAGAAAGGACTCGTTATATATCTTATGGCCTGGAAATTATTTAATTCCTTCCGTCCAAACTATTCTCTGCTGGAAAAAAAGAAGTGAGAATCCGTTGGTGAAAATGTGGCATAAAATGCACATAAAACGCAAAACTACATAAAACACCTGAAGTATAATAGTCATAATTATATTTAATAAGCGAATCATACACTTTTAATTATTTTCATATAAATACAAATTTGCATAAATATTCACAGTCTAGTCATTATAAAAAAAAAAACCCTTTTAAATGCCTGATTAAAAGATCGATGAAAACATCTTATTCGTTTGTTTTGTAAACTCTAAAAACACTATTTATATCATATCAACTTATATAGCAATGTTATACGTGTTTATTGTAACACTGATAGTCTACTTACATGTGTGAACGAAGAGGCGGACAGAAATTATGCAGCAATCTAATACAATTTGCTCAATATTTCGAAAGGAATAAGAAACGTTATTCGAAAAACTAGCTAAAATTGTATTTAATATCGGGTCTGCCAAGGGTATTTTCTTGTTTCTCACCACTTAGTAGAGTACAAATATTTTTGGAATGGAATTTTTCGCGATTCTCGCGGTTCGATTTGCGACGAACGATTCAACGTGACAAAGGAAAGGAACAACGAGTAGAGTTACAGGGGTGAAGCAATTTCTTCGTGGTGTACACGTAGAAACACGAACGCAACTCGTTACCATTTCTCTACAGACGCAACACGTCCGTTGAGGAAAAGAAAAATCAAAAAAAAAAAAAAGAAAAAAGAAAAAAACACCGGGATAAATCGTCCGCGAAAAATCCGTTTTCGTCCGAGCTGAACTAGCGCTCTTTGCATATAGCCTGACCTGCCTGTGGCTAACTACTTTTCTCTTTTTCTGTTTGTGGGATTTTTTTACCAATTTTCTCGAGGAGGGACATCCGAGGAGTTTTTACACGTTTAGAGCCAAAGAAAAAGATACACTTGCAAATACTTAGACTTACTTAAACCACGCTTCGCGTGTTTTTACGCTGAACTGAACCCCTCAACTCCTTAAAAGAACTCACATAGGACATGTGAACACGACGACGCGATATAATCGTCGATAAATATGATCGTGATCGAGTACACGAACCATTCGCGAGTTATAAAAAAGAAAAGAATAAAAAACTAAATATGTCTATAAACGATAAACTGATACCCAAATGATAGAACATCCGCACGAAACGGGAGAAAGCACCTTTTTTTCTTAACCATTTATACCTTTAGATTGCGCCTAAAAATTAGTTTTCTTAACTGGGTTCATTTTTCAGCCGATTGCATATACGATTTTTTCTCTCCTCTTGTGTATGGTTAATACTTTTTTTTTCTTTTTATTTTTAATTGTTATTCATTGTTTCTCTCTTGGGAAATTTTCATTAACTTTTTTACCAAGTGATCGGACTTAGTCCTGCTTGATTAGCTCTTGGACCATACGTGTTTAGTGCGCATGATGTGTGTTATGATTATCGATTACTACAATTATTATTATTATTATTATTAATTCTACCATTGCTATTAGCGTTATTTACTATTATTATTTTATTACTATTATTATTATTATTATTATATTATTCACGACGTACGCTATTGCTACGGTTTACTATAATTATTATTATCATTATTATTGTTATTATTACCATCGTCGCTATATATTGTCAATATCGTCGTCAATTAGTTTACTTGACCGCACTTATTTTGTATATCGTGTGTATCGTCATTACCATTAGTATTATCGTCACAACCACCGTCACGATTATCGATTACGAACGTCGCCACGATCATCCACGCTGATTTGTACGTATCTTTTCTTTTTTTTTTTTCTTTTCTTTGGAGTAAGAAGCAAAAAAACGAGGACGAAAAAAAAGAAGCAAAGAGAAGGAAAGGTGCTTCATAAGAGGCAAATAAATCGAATATCGAGCATCGAGTCTCGAGGTACACGGTACACTGAATACTCTGTCGCGTTTGAAATACAAATGGCCCCTTGTCCACGAGTCCACGAGTATCGATCGCGAGTCATCGTTCAACGAATGCGACAGGGTCGTCGCAACCTCGATCTCTTAAATGTTCGCTCTTGCCTTGGGTTTTCTTATTGTTAGATGTTAGATTACGATCGCATGGCATGCGCTTCTATTGTTTCATATATATATATATATTTTATTGTATTTTATTCCCTTTTTTTAAATGCCTCTTTAGTTTTGTTGATTCTTCTATTATTACGTTTATTATTTCTTTTTTTGGTATCGTTCGTTTCATTTAATTTAGCGCCGTTCGCCTGTCTTTTTCGTTGGCGACACTCTCATTCCATCGAACACACCACGTACCTTTGTAAGTACTCGAGGGATTCCACGTGATCAGCGATTGTATGTTAACACATTTGAGTGTGCTTAGGTGTAAGAAGAA